GATGCAGCGCATGCTATCACGGTGCACATGGAATCTGGGCCTCTGATGGGTCTTGATTAATGGGTAGTTGATGTGGTGTAGATGGGTACATATGAGCTCATGTGAGATAATCTGGTGTGGGTGTATACATGTGAGCTTCGGTGAGATAATTAGGTGTGGATGCATACATGTGAGCTCAAGTGAGCTAATCTGGTGTGGTGCATTTGTGTGAGCTCAATGATATAATCCGGTGTGGGCGCGCTCACAGTAACCATTGAGCTCAACCTATTATTATTCTTGTTTTGTTACTCAAAATTTAAAAGGTCATAACTTAATTATTTTAAATCGAAATTGGGTCATTCTTGAGCTCAAATTCAAGGATTTTTCGTCCTCTTTCCAATGGTACCAATTTCATTATCAGATTCTTATCCTAATAAGAGATATTTACGTTTTAGTGAGACGGTGTCGGAAAACTATTTAAACCAATATGGAGTATTTAAAGGAAACTATTTCTGACATATTTAGTTGCACTAATTTGTGTAAATATAATAAATTAATAGTTTGTTATGGAAGGAAGTGTATATATATATATATATATATATATATATGTATGTATATTGATTTTAAATAATCAAGGATTATTAAAGAAGGTGTTAAACACATATATACATTAAATAACATATGTGTAGGTATATATATATATAAATCATTTAAGATGATTAATATTATCATTCTTATTTGGCATATCTTAATAGGCTGGTTGTTAAATTAATGATATGCGTATAATATGCATGTGATGGCTATGTATGATTTAGCGTATTGTTAATTTTAAAGTTAATTCATGGTTAAAGTGTGGGCATGGATGAATTGTCAAATGATTAAATATATTACCTAAATATTTGTATGAATAGAATACATATATGGAAAGCATGGATGAATTGCTAATTAAATGTATGAATAAATATATCTGTGGAGGCATGGTTGAATTGCCAATGTATAAATATACATACACGGAGGCATGGTTGAATTGCCAATGTATAAATAAATATACTTATGGAGGCATGGTTGAATTGCCAATATATAAATAAAAAATATTTACAATGGCATGGTTGATTTGCCAAAGCATAATTACGTTGTTATGTGTTAGATGATTAAAATATCATCTATGGTTGTTGTATGTATGGATTGGATTAGGGTTAGATATTCTTAAATGAGAATAGTTTAGTACTTACTGGTTAGTGTATTATTTTCCATTAATAAAATAATATTGGGGAAGACGTGGATGATTTGTCAAAACTTGGATTTTGGATATGTGATTTAAACTATTAAAATCATTATCGGATTGGGATTAAATAGAGTATTTCTTTTATTATAATTTGTTGTTTAAATGATTAGACAACTGACTAGGATGGGATTAAGGTCAAAGAAGTTTTTATAAAATGAAATGGTAGATTGGTCTAGGTATGAATATTATTTTAATAATTATTTAATAGGTATGGAAATTTAATAAACCTATTAATGGATGTGATTAGTATAGTATATATAATTATATATAGACATGTATATCGTGCTTTATTAAAGTTAAAACTTTATTAGGTTTGATTTTGATCAGAGATGATCTGCTTATTGGTTTTCAGAGGCCTGGTAGAGTGAACTTGCTCGTAGGGTTTAACCCACGATTTATTTTTTAGGTTATTAGAGGTTCCAGTCTCGAGGTTGAGGATCCGCAGCTGGGAGACTGTCATTCGTCTATTCATCTTGTGTACTTTTAAATAGTATTGGATTATTGGATAATGTTTTAAGGGGTCCTTGAGTTATGGGATTTCCGAATTGTAATTGTTGGAGAATCATTAAGTAATATTTATTTATTAGTTTTCTTCAGCGGTTTATTTATTCTTTATTATTCATCTTTGTATTCTGTGCTTGTTAAATACTCTAATTGTTTTGATATCCCCTGATTTTGTGCGCGGATTTGATCAACCCGTGTTCCAAAATTAGGGGGTATCACAACTTCGAACAAGAAGGACAAGAAAGCAACATGGCGTTGGTTGTTCTGAGCTGGTTCAGATTAGTTTCGCTTTGCTGTTGTTAAAGTGGCCGAAACTCAGGCATGGCTTTTTGATATGCAAGAATAGTGTTCTTAGTTTATTCCATAAGTTACTTCTCCTCTTTCTAATTTTGTTGAATTAATTAATAGGATTAATCCACTAATTTAATGATTTTTACATATATGTAATTGGAAACAATCTTGCCCCCAGTTATTTTCTCTCTTTCCAATTTGTTGATTTAATAAGATTCAAGTCTGTAGATTTTGTATGATTTTGCCACAATCCGAGTAATTAGAGTTCCATAGAAAGAGTCTCGTCCTAAAGGAGGTTTTTTTTTTTGGGTAACGGACGCTAGGTTTTATTCTTTAAATGAAGAAGAAGAAGATTCGTGATTATATACAACAATTGTAGTTTCTTCAAGTTGTGTATTTGGTGATATATAATTTCTGTGTGGATGCAGTTATAATTTTGGGAGCTTTTGATTGTTAGATACTTGGTACTAATTGGGAAGTACGTGTACGTTTGATGAAAATTGTTCAATCCTTTAAAAGATATATATCATGGTTCTCTCTCTCTCTATATATATATATATATATATTTGTGTGTGTGGATGAATTACGGTTCTATTAAGTGTTTAGTGAAACTTGTACAGCCCTTTAAAATTGTTCAAATCTTTAAAATTTGTGATTAAGGTGCTACTGGATTTCGACGAATGAATTTAAGTTTAGTTATTAATTTAAAGATTATAATTTAGATTTAGGAAATAAATTTACGTTCCACAACTATGCATTTTTCGGTTTTTTTTTCCCCCAAAGAAACTGCTTCGTGTGCACTTCTTCCTTAAAAGAAAGCTCTAACAGCTGATCATCACATTGAAAGAAAAAGCAAAGAACATCAATAAGCTAGGCAGCAAAATGCCATTATATATTGGTCATAAAAATTAACTTGCTTCATCTCGTATTAATTATTAATTAACCAATTTTAAAAAATAGGCATTATTTTTTCTACACATGCATCAATCAACCTAAATTTCATAGGTTTGATTCATGAAGGGTGAAACGAAACTATCTACATATATAAATGGTTGCATCAAACCCCTCGTGCCTATTTGTTCCCTCTCTTGCATGGTATAGAACTTAGTATTATCTATCAACAGCAGAGCTTCATCATTTCTCGTCCACGAGCGAACCCAATGGTTTCAATATATTTGAAAATGGGACTTTAATATCAAGTGTAGTCCAAGACAGCTTCACCCCATATTCTTTCATAACCCAAAATTCATCGTCACGACAACATGGTGGTATACAAAGGCATCCTTCAAACACCCCAAGTCGGGGTCTTGGACCCTTACAAAAATTTGTGAATGAAGTAGGCAAGGGATTCCACAGTTTCCGTCCCCAGGCTAAAAGCAGCAATCTCTGGTGACAAATAAAATCGTTGAGATATAATGCATACTCGTCCATATATACTCCATCACTTTATATGAAAATTCGATAGGAGACAAAACTCCTCTTACACCCACCTACTCCTTAACAATTGCATGTGAATGAGCCCTCTTGTATTAACCATTATTGTAAATGGACGGGGTTGTCAATGAATAGTTACTCAAATTTTAATAATATTCAGAATTCATAACTTGGCCTACTAGACATACACTAGATGAATTGTTGTTGAGTAGATAAAACTATAGTATATGACTTATTTCATCAAGATTTGTTAAGATTTATAATTAATTTTTATTCTTAAAGTTTTGTTTTCAGTTTTGATTATAAAAATTGACAAACAAACTAAAAAAAAAGTAGGATTCAAACTTAATGAATAGTGTGTTGAGTCGTATATATAAATGGGTTTAAGTTACGTCTATAAATGAATCGGATTTAAAGTAAATCAGCCATGATCGGATTTAAAGTAGATCAACCATGGTTTGATTTGAATCTAATAAGAGATATATCTGATTTTATACAATGTAATAGCTCGCCAAATTATGTATGAATTAATATATAGTCAATTTGTAATTAATCAAATGTCTAATTTCAATATTTGAAGGATGTAATTTTTTGTTAAAAAAACCTTAATGCCAAAAGAAATTAGCATATCGAAGATTAGGGTGGAAAAAAGAGAGAAAGAAGCAAGAGAAGGAAAATTAATATATGAAAAATAAGAAAAGATTAGGTATTTGACTTTTAATTAAAGAAAAACAATAGAAAGAGGGTAGAAAATTACACATTTCTTGCATATTCGGTATATGACTTCTTTTTTATTATTATTATTTTTTACACTTTACCCTATTATATATTATATTTTATCGGACCGACTATAACCCATTTTTTATTTGTTTAGTTAATAGATTATTTTTGAATGATTAATGGATCATCAAATTGAATGTTCCAATTCATATTCGAGTTATCAAATTATATTTAGATCAAAATTTAATCCATTAATAAGTCTAGATCAAGGTTGAGCTCAAATTTATGAACAATTAATCTAGGTAAAGCATGTTGTCTTACTTTCAACAACTTCTTGGTTCTACATTTGTCCTATATCTCATGGAGTGATCTCATAGAGTGACATGGTGGATTGGTTACAGTGTTAAAGTTTCTATAATATAACCAATAAGGCAGTCGCTACATGCTAATTAGATTGACAATGCAATGTATATATATATATATGTATGTATGTATGGATCAGTAAAATGCCATTATGGGCGATTAAAATTAACTTGCTTCATCTGGTATAAATTAATAAATCAACTTCAAAACCCGGCATTATTTTCTTTCTGCCCATCAATTAATCAACTTAAATTTCATAGGTTTATTTGTTTGCTTGCCTATATATATATATATATATATATATATATATGACATTTTCACATGAAGGGTGAAAGGAAACTATCTACATAGATGGTTGCATCAAACCTCTCGTCATTCATGACAAGATACCTATTTGTTCCCTCTCGTGTTACATAAAACTAACTTAGTCTCGTCTATCAACAGCAGAGCTTCATCAATATTCCTCGTCGGCGAACCCAATGGCTTCAACATGTTTGAAAATGGGACATTAATCTCAAGTGTAGTCCAAGACTCCATCACCCCATATTCCTTCATAACCCAAAATTCATCGTCACAACAACACGGTAGTATACAAAGGCATCCTTCAAACACGCCCAATCGGGCCTTTCGAAAATTGGTGAAGGAAGTAGGCAAGGGAATCTTCCACAGTTTCTCGTCCACCAAACTAAAAGCAGCAATCTCCGGTGGCACTTCGTCGGAATCGTTTTTCCAACAAAGCCAATGGAGGGCTCCGTTCAGCTGCTGCGTCCCATTAGCAGCAGAAGCACGAAAATTGAACATAGGAATAACGTCTTGAACTACTTTTGTCCAAGAACCTATTCTAAGTGAATACACATAGATGCTATTGTCGCCTATTGCCACCACTTTGTAATCATCAGAACAATTGTCGTACCCAAATCCAACCCTGTCACTAGGGAAATTGGAGAAAAAACCCCTAAAATCCGGTATTTGCTTGGCCTCCCTTGTTGAAAGATTGAATACATAAACCTCAACCGAAAAATAAAATTCTACCAACATGCAAATCAACCCATTGCAAGAACCAATGATTTGACATTCGCGATGAGGATTGTTGTGAAATAAAAAGTCCATGCTACTGCAATGTCATGATCGGATGATCCGAAGCTCGCGGTGTAGAGACGGTGTGGGGTGCAGGAAGTGGCTATGGCAATTTGTTGAGTATTTCGAGATGAAGGTGCCCGGGAAGGCAAGGCAAGGGTAATGGCATAGGCATGGCTTCCTCTTCTTCTTCATGATTTGTATTAATCGCTGTCTTCTTCATCACCTTGGCTTTGCCTCGCTTTCTTCTTGATTTTTGCGAGCCACTTCTCTTCATGATCACAATTATATGTCAAGTTCTGATCTTCACGTATTGTATTCAGAAAACTTAATTTGAACTAAACTTAATTTGAACTAAACTTTGCTTTAAAAAAATAATAATAATAATAGGTGACGTATCCGTATCCTAAAGGGATTCAAAGAAGAGAGAGTCAAAGAAGAGAGAGAGGGAGGAATAATAGAAAGGCCACCCAAAAAAAAAAAAAAAAAAATGAAGAAGAAGAAGAAGGAAATATTTTCATTTAAAAAATTTATTTTCATTTATCTTAACCTTCTTTAAAAAATTCATTTCCTTTCCTTTCAATAGATATACTTAATTATGGGCCCAAGAGATTAATATATTTATTTTATTTTAGGTTTTTTTTCTTTTTGATAAATTACACTGATGCCCCTTCAAAAATAGGTGATGTGTCCTAAAGGGATTCAAAGATGAGAGAGACCAACTCAACTAGGATGACAACAGGGCAAGGTTAGGGAGAATTTGGCTAAATCCTACTCCATTCGGTTAGAAAATCCGTCGTATTAACTCCGTTCCAACTTCGGGACGGATTTGTAATTGGTATACCATCCTCGCCTCTATTCCGTCCCATTAAAAAATCCTTCATATCAACTCCGCTCCAACTCTAGGACGGATTTGTAATTGGTATATCATCCTCGTCCCTACTCCAGTAGACAAAGTACTGACTCTGCCCCGTATTCCGTTTAATTACGGGGCGGGGACGGGACGGGTAATGTCACTTTTATTATTTAGTTAAAAAAAAACTAACCTAATGTGCTCAAATTTGGCGGATAAATAAGCTACCACAGAGCTTTTAAATTACTAAGAAGTGAATATTTATATATTAACGGACACTTCCAACAAATTAACAAGGGTCTTAAAAATATTAAATATATATTTTATAAATATAATATTTTTAAAGGTATATATAATCGGAGAAGGACGGGTTTATCATTAAATTCGTCTCCACCCCAAATTCGCTTCAAATTTTAATTATTTTATCATACCTGTCCCAAATCCATTTAGGAAACTATCAAATCCATCCCATTAAAAACAGGACAGAACCAAAACCCACCGAGTCAAAGTAAATTACCATTCCTAAACTTAATCACTGAATTTGTTTTGCAAGCAACTCGTAACAAAACATCTATATTTTTAAGTGCCTATCATTATAAGCTGCCCCTATATGTAACTTTGGGAGGTCGAACTCAAAACCAACCTACCTGAATCCGACTAGTTTATGGACAATCATTTTCTTTTTATACATTTTCACACCTCCGATTTGAATTTTGGTTAAGCGATTCAAATCTGAAATTAATTTAGATTGACTTATAATGCATGGAGTAACCGAACTTAATTCAAGTTGAACAATGTTCAACTCAAATGATAAACCAACTATATATATTTGTAATTGTGATATTCTTTTCTTTTTTTTCCTTTTTTTGGTATATGTACTTTAAAGAATTATTAAGACCTTGATTAATGTTTTTTTTTCTTTATCTTTTTTATAAAAATTCATTTTTAAGAATTTTTTTATATATACAATTAACCCGATAAAATTACCAATCCGAGATCAACTGATTTATCCAACTCAAGTTCAAGTGTTCAACTGATTTATCGAACTCAAGTTCAACACGGGTTCAGTTTGATTTGATTTGAATTAAAGGTTTTATACGTTGATTTGAGTCTAAATGGACCCTTCCAAAGTTTTTCCTCTAACAATAGGTTAATTTTTTTAAAAAAAAAGGGATGATTCTATAAAAATGGGATTATGATGGTCAATTGTTAAATTGATGGAGTCAAATATTCTCTTTCCAAAGCAATGGAATATGTCTTGAATACAAAATTACCCCTCAACTGTCTTGGGAAATAATTATATGGAAAAATTACATATAAATGGAGTCAAAGTTCCATATTTATTTAGAGGCTGAGTCAAAGTTCCATATTTCTCTAAAATGGATTGTTGAGGTGGTACATGGTTTTTTACTGTTTAGAAATTGTGGTGCCTAAAATACCCTTCCGCGAAGGTATTACTTTTTCTTCGAAGGTACTACTGTTTTGAACTGAAGGTACTACTTTTTGGTGTCCAGGTACCATGTTTTTTAAATACCCGCAAAGGTACTACTTTTTCTCCGAAGGTACTACTTTTTTAAACTGAAGGTACTACTTTTTTGAACTGAAGGTACTACTTTTTTGTTAAGGAAGGGCATTTTAGGCACCATAATTTTCTAAACAGTAAAAAATCATGTGCCACCTCAGCAATCCATTTTAGAGAAATATGGAACTTTGACTCAGTCTCTAAATAAATATAAAACTTTAACTCCATTTATATGTAATTTTCCCTAATTATATTACCCTTTCAACAACTTTACTATCATGGGGGAAGCCACTCTGTTTGCAGGCGGCGGCTTCATCGTCGACCGAATCTCCCGCCACCATCTCCGCTGCCCAATCGCAGCCCTCAATACATCACCAACACAACACCTTCCTTGTTGAAAGACACCGCGGCCAAATTATCCTCTTCACCAATTATAGACTCATTATGCCAGCCGTGGCCAGCGTAGAGAGAGAAAGTTAGAGAGAGAGGTAGTGTATGAGAACGCCATGGCAGGAAGAGATCAGAAGCCTAAACCGGTGTGCATGCCCAACCCAGCACAGGGTCACCGGATACAATGCTCTTCCACAGTGGATTTCTTATAATGCTCATCGGAATGGACCGAAGCTCGCCGGAGTGGGGTTTTTATTTCACCGAATACAATGGTTGGAATGAAGCTACGCCGGAAACAATGGAAGCTACTGGGTCTGTGATGATCCCCGGATTGAGTATGGTTAGTCGACACTTGGAGCTCGCCGGGGCTTCGCCGCTGCTTGGGAGCTCACATGTATGGAATGGGAACTCATGTATTTGCTTTGTCGCCGGTTCAATCCGAGAGTCGAGCTTAATCGGAGGGTTGCTGGGGAGGTGGAGGACGCCCTCGACGAAGCAGCCATTTTTGCCGAGGACTTCTAAGGCAAATCGGCGGCGCTGGAAGTCGTAGAAGATCCGCGCGTTGTGGCACAAGATGAACATGCCGCTGCCGAGGGAGGAGATGTTCACGAAGCCCGCTCAGTCCTCTCTCTCCACCGTCTTCGCACTCTATCTGTCTCAAAACTACCTCACCGGTTCAATCCCGACTGAGCTCAACCTCTGGACCGGCTCAACTATCTCCACCTTGACAGTGAAGGGACAGTTTGGGAATAAAAATACAATGTACAGTGATTTCCATGACTTTGGCAATTAACTCCATTAATCCATTTTTTTGGAAAAAGAATATTTGACTCCATCAATTTGGCATTTGCCCACCATAATCCCATTTTTATGGAATTATCACTGTACATTGTATTTTTCCACCAGCTTCCCATCAAGAAAAAAAAAAAAAAAAATTCATTATATGAAAATTACACTCAAACTATTACCAAATAACATTTATATGGTATTATTATCACATTAATTAAAAGAATTAACTGTTCATAGAAAAAATGAACACTAAACAAACAACTTGAAACCAAGAATATCTGCGTTACCATTGCATTGAAGGAATGAATGAACAAATTTTCGTTATATGAACAGTAAACACTGAACTAACTAATACCAGATAACAATTCACTGGATCCAAACAATTAAAATCTATACGTATACCGCCATATATCTATATATCTTGAATCTTTATTAGGGATCAAAAGGGCCATTGGGTTGAAGCTGTTTGCAGAGTCCAAGATAAGTGCGATAAACAAGTTGATCCTTAACACCTGATCGACGATTCTTGGTGTGTTTGCAGAAATACTTCAACTGTACGACGGTACAACACCCAATCATCTGACCCAGAAGCAAGAACAGCCAATTGATCTCTCTCTTCTTCTCTGCGATCACTGGCTTGACTCTGTAATTGCCCCGTTCTTGACAGAATTTGCAGATTGGAAGAACAGGGTTCAACCATTCGTTTGGAGCTCGATCACTCATGGTGGCTTTGTTTTCGACAATGAAACCGCCCACTTCATTGAATTTCTCTCTCAGATCATATTGAATTTCGTAGATTTTATCGCATTTCTTGCATTGGACCCGTCCTGCGATGGTAGAGATTTGTCGGGATTCAAGATGAGCAAGACTGTGGATGGTGGCTCGGCGAGTGGTGGCCCACGGCGGAAGTGTAGTGACGGGTGTAGGATTACTGATCGGTATTACGCCCAAATGGTCCATGTAGATGACAGGGGGCAGTGGAAGAGTGAACTGCAGATCATTATCATGATCTTCTTTTTCTTCTTGGAGGGGTGGTGGTGGCGACGGTGGTGGTGGGATGGTGGTGGAAGGAAAAGGTGAAGAAAGAGTGGGCTGCAGATTACAGACATGATCTTCTTGTTGTTGGAGCTTTGATGATTTTCTCTTTGTGTTGATCATTTCTTGCTTAGTGGCCATTTCGTCTTTGTTCTTCATGGCTGAAGAGTACTTTGTGTAGGACAAGAACAGAGAAAGAATAATAAGAATGCAAAAAACAATGTGTGTGTGTGTGTGTGTGTGTGTTTACAACTTTATATATATATATATATACACACACAAACACACATTGGACGAAAAGGGGTTCCGGTTGATTTTAACTTCAGGGCATGGGGGTTGTGCTTGCAATATCATGGTTGTAACTTGGGCAGGTCAACCAAAGTCAACTTTTATGGAACTAATTTTTTCAACAATTATTGTAAAAACAATTTGAGATTGAATTTAGTTTAAGACAATCCAATCCCAACTTAAAACATACTGCACTCAATTTGACGCATAAATATCTTGAACTCAACTGGAATTAGATTAACTCCAATTATAAACAAACTTATAATATTATATAATTTTTCAGAAATAAAACAAACTTATAAGTTCATATATATATATATATATATATTCATTACTGTGACCAACCTTTCTTTTGTTTTTTTTTCAAGACATATGCATCAAAATTTTAGAAATCTACAACAAATCATTAATTAACCCAACATCATCCATGAAAATATAGTATTCAAGTATACAAATCACTCTTGCAAAATTGGACACAAACAGAAGAACCTCCTGAACAAGAGTTCATGGAAGAGAACCTCAATGAGCCCAAAAAAACAGAAGACAAGAAGTTTTGCATTTACAATAGAAGTTTGATTACAGTCACTCAGTCAGGTATATATTTATAGCTATTGGCACGTGGAAAGTATATGATACACATATTATATATAGAGAGAGAGAGAGAACAAATTGCAAAGCACAAACTGCAAATAGAGAACCCGATAGATATATATATATATATATATATAATAGAGAACCCGATAGATATATATATATATATATATATATATATATATTCCATGGTATACAATGGAGTGTGAAGAGAGAGAGAGAGAGGAGAAAGAGAGGGTGTACCGTCACATAGCGAAAGAGGAGAGAAGGAGAGAGAGCCTGGCAGATCTGTATGAGAAGAATGCGTATGAGTTTTTTTGTCCATTTAGTGATAATAGAATGTCATTTTACAAATTCAGAAGAGGAATGGTCGTTCCATCTAAAAGTCGGAAACTAGGCTTTAAAAATTACTCTTTGAGAGTTGGATTATAGTTTTATTATATATATATATATACACACATAATTTTTAGATTAAGAAATGAATACTCACCGGCGTGCATTCAAGGGAAATTGAGAAGGCTTGTTTGACTCTCCTTTCGAGAGAGGGTACCATTTTAGTTTTTGGATTGTATCTATAAACAATGAACTGACAATCATTTTGAAAATTTGAGTAAAAACCATTGTAGCACACACAAAGATTCAATTCTTGTAACACTGTTGAAAATTGATTTGAAATGAAGGATTTAAAAATAGGGAAGCACAAAAAACACTCTTATAATGTACTTATAATGTATATGACATTCCTCGTGCGCAGAAAATATTCCTGAAATTTGAATTTTGTACAAATTAATTCCCCGACACATTTAAACTATACTTTGACTAAATTAATGGTTAGATCAATTTACACATTATGTAAAAACTTTAATGGTAGTAGTAGTTGTTAAACTTAAAAACCATTCGTTTTAAAGCATTCAAACAGAGCATTAAATACAATCTTAAAGGCTTATGTTTGTTGAGATGGAAATTAAATTTTTCATCGTTCTATATGATTAGCATGAAATTTTTTTAAGAAAATTATTTAAAATTGCTAACATTTTATGATTTAAATATCATAAAATTTACCTCAAAAGAAATAGCATTATTGAAAGTTCATTTTCTCAAGAAATTAAAATTTTCTTGTGTTTGTTTGTAAGAAAAATTTCATTAAAAAGTTCAGTGATTATAGAAAGTAATTTTCTCTTAAAATTTTTTCTTTTCCTGCTAATCAAACCATTCAGGAATTTTCGTTTCCTATATTTTCTTGCTATTTTTATCTTACCCAAAGAAGCCAAAGTGAAAATAAAGAGAAACCATTAGTGGGCTCTCCTTAATTCCAAAAAAAAAAAAAAACACACACACACACACTACTTATTGAATGGAGATGCCGTCATCCTCCATACTTTTTAGTCATGCATTCTGCACACCTACAAACACACACACAGATCACACAGAATAATACTCCTCTCTATCAAGAATTTCCACGACTGGTAATAGTCCATGACAAAAAAAATAATAATAATAATAAAATTCATGATATAAAAATGGAACATTAAACATACAACTAAGAATTAACACCAAGTAAAAATTAAAAGCTAGCATATTTATAAACTCATTTATCACCATACAACTAGCTTGAAATTAACCTAAAAATCACTAACACCTCTGTAATATATGATCATGAACCTTCAATCAAAAATGGCAATTGGAATCGAGCTGTTTGTAGATCTGCAAACCTTTTGCACCCATTTCTCTTGGGGTCTTTCCTGACATTTGCATCCTCATTGAGAAATACAATACCCTTCCTCTGATTTTCTGGTATTTTACTTAAATCTAAAAACATTTTCTGTAAACTTCTCAGTTTTACAACGATTTAAACAGTTTGAAATCAAAATCAAAATAAAAATGAATGAGCTTCATGAGGTTCATAATGCGGCATTCACTGTCTTTTCCTATAAAGGCTCATATACCAACTTCAAATTGCCCATTTTTCAACCGAAATGAGCAGTGTTGCTGAAATTGCATGTACACATATAACTAGATTTTTACTCAATTTTCCTAGATAATGTCAAATTGTCAATTCATAGGCCATGAAGACAAATATATAGACACAATCCAAAATTCCATAGGTCATCAAACCAAAGGCTTTTTCTAAAAGGTTACTAAGGATCATAAATGCCAGACTCCAACACTACCAATTCCTTAGTTGACATACAATATGTATAAAATTATTCACAAAATTTTGAAAATTGTTCAAAATCCAGAGAGAGAGAGAGAGAGAGCAAAACATATATACTGTATATTCAATACTCTAACCTAATAAGCCTGTGTAGGCTTATATATAAAGGGTACAAGTCTTGCATAATAACACAAGGGTCCTATCAACTAAATGTAATTACATAATGACGTAATTACATAATGACCTAACTTATATATATATAACTTCTAACACTCCCCCTCAAGCTGGAGAATATATATCAAATAATCCCAACTTGAAACAGATAGTTCTTAACCGATTATGACCCAATGCTTTGGTAAACATATCAGCTAATTGATCTTCAGACTTCACAAATGGAGTAGAGATGCTCCCACGTAATATTTTTTCTCGAATGAAGTGACAATCAACTTCAATATGTTTGGTCCTCTCATGAAATACAGGATTTGATGCAATGTAAACTGCTACTTGATTATCACAGAACAATGGAGTAAGAGCTTCAACTGTCAACCCAAGTTCTTTTAGAAAATGTTGTATTCATGTCAACTCATTAATGGTATGGGCCATTGCCCTATACTAAGCTTCAGCACTAGATCGAGCTACCGCCGTTTGCTTTTTACTTCGCCATGTAACTAGATTTCCTCCTACAAATGTGCAGTAGCCTGTACTAGATCTCCTATCTGAAGGAGAACCGGCCCAATCGGCATCTGTAAAACCTTCCACCCTGAGATGACCATTTGGTTTATATAGTAACCCAAAACCTGGAGCTTGCTTGAGATATCGGAGAATCCGAAGAACAGCAATCCAATGTGGCATTCTAGGAGCTCCCATGAACTGATTTACAACACTAACAGCATATGAAATATCAGGTCGAGTAATAGTGAGATAAATTAATTTCCCAACAAGGCGACGAAATCTGCCCGGGTCATTAAATAGATCACCCACATCAGCTACAAGTTTTGTATTTGAATCCATAGGAGTATCAACAGGACAACCACCTAACATACCTGTTTCTTCTAATAAGTCCAACACATACTTTCGTTGGGATAAACTTATACCCGTCTTGGATCTAGCAACTTCAATACCCAAGAAATACCTAAGTTTGCCCAAGTCTTGAGTGTGGAATCGATATTGCAGAAACAACTTCAACTTAGCAATGCCTTCAGAATCATCACCTGTGATCACAATATCATCTACATACACCACAAGAATTATGAAGCCAGCTTTAGTGCGCTAGTGAAATACCGAATGGTCAGTCTAACACCTATAAAGACCAAACTTTAGTGCTGCCTCAGAGAATTTTCCAAACCAAGCCCGTGGGGATTGTTTCAATCCATACAGGGCCTTTTTAAGGCAACAAACAGTGTGAAGATACTCCCCCTGAGCAACAAACCCAGGTGGTTGCTCCATATAAACCTCTTCTGCTAAGTCACCATGCAAAAAGACATTTTTAACATCTAACTGAAACAGAGGCCAATGTCGATTAGCCGCAAGAGAAATCAAAACACGAATAGAAGAAATCTTAGCAACAGGTGCAAACGTCTCATCATAGTCAATACCATAAGTCTGGGTATAACCTTTGGCAACAAGACGGGCTTTTAAACGCTCAACGGACCCATCGGGAAGATACTTCACAGTATATATACCTAGCGACAACCAACAGGTTTGGCACCTGGAGGTAATGGAACAAGAGTCCATGTGCCATTCTTATGCAAAGCATCCATTTCATCTTGTATGGCTTTCCTCCAACCCAAATCAAACAAAGCATCATGTACAGTCTTAGGAACAAATGTAATAGATAACTTAGAGGAAAAACATGAGAATAATGGCGACAAGGAATTATAAGAGACATAATGAGCAATGGGATGATTAGTAACACACGAGCAAGGAGCTTTACGAAGTGCAATCGGCAAGGAATCAGACACAGTGGAATTTGTCGGATCCAAAGACTCTGAAGATGATGAAGGAGGCACGACAGCAGATGGCTTTGGTCTTCTTTTGTACACCTGAAACAGGGCAGGTGAAGGAGAGCTGGGTTGAAGAGAAAGTGAGGGAAGAGGAACCGCAGGAAGAGGCGACTCGGGAGTGATATCAAGAAGTGAATCATTATCTGAAAAATATGGGATGGACTCACAAAAAGTTACATCCGCGCTAATAAAGTACCGTTGAGAAACAGGACCATAGCAGCAATAACCTTTATAAGAACGAGAGTAGCCAAGAGAGACACAGTTTGTGGCACGTGGGTCTAGTTTATCAAAACCAGGACCAAGATTGTGGACATAACATACACATCCAAAAACTCTAAGAGGAAGAGAAAACAAGGGAGAATCAGGAAATAAGATAGAATATGGAGATTTGCCATCTAATACAGATGACGGCATACGGTTAATAAGATGACAGGCAGTAAGAACAGCACCACCCCAAAATCGTTTAGGCATACGCATATGAAACAAAAGAGCACGGGTTACTTCTAAGAGAGGTCGATTCTTACGTTCTGCAACTCCATTTTGTTGAGGAGTATAAACACATGAATTTTGATGAATAATTCCTTTATCACTAAGATATGTATCAAAGGGGTTTGAGGAATACTCCATAGCATTATCAGAACGTAGAATACGAATTGGGCATCCAAACTAAGTTTTGACTTCTTTTCGAAATTTTTGAAAAATTAAAAATAACTCAGAACGATCTTTCAATAGAAACAACCAAGTCAGGCGAGAATAATCATAACAAATGTCACAAAATAATGAAATTTATTGATTGAAGAATGCTTTATTGGACCCCATACATCTGAATGAACCAAATGAAAAGGACTAGAGACACGATTATTAACCTTAGACTTGAAAGACACGCAATGGTGCTTACTAAGTTGACAAACTTCACATGATAAGAATTTCAAATGACTAAGACTAGGAACTTGACGCTTCAAAACTTGAAGTGACAGGTGACTAAGACGATAATGCCGCTGGAATGGAGACAGAGAAGACTGAAGAGCCATAGGATAAGGTTCCAAATCAAAATAATATAAGCCACCAGCTTCATGCCCCGTACCAATCTTCTTCTTCGTCTTGAGATCCTAAAACACACAAGAAGTAAGATCAAATGTAACAGAGCACTGGAGAGATTTAGTAAGCTTACTGATAGACATTAAATAAAAGGGAAACTGCGAAACATATAAAACAGATGAGAGGGACAAGGAATCACTAAGTTGAGTTGTCCCCAAACCTGAAACCTGAGTGGATGAACCATTAGCAAAAGTAACACTTTCAGAAGAAGGTACAGAATTAAAATCAGATAGACGAGAAGAACATCCAGTCATATGATCGGATGCTCCAGTGTCAATCCAAGGACTGCGAATGGAAGACAATAGACACGTGTGCGCATTACCTGACTGGGAAAAGGTAGCCGTGGAAGATAAATTAGATGCTTGCTTATAAGATAAAAACTGATTATACTCATCCCGTGGAACAGGGACTGTTTCTGATTCAGATACGTTGTGAGATCGAGAAGCAACATCATTCGTAGAGGAGGAAACTTGATTGGCATAACCAGATGGTTTGTCATGAAGGTCCCAACAAAAGTTCACAGTATGATTAGAAAGGCCACAATGAGTACATTTTCGTGATTCCCTGCCACGGCCACATCCTCCCCATGAATCACGACCACCATGGGTGGAGCGTCCCCCACGACCTCCACGGTAAGCATTATGTTCACCCTTTGAAACTACCCAAGCTGAACTCTCACCACTCTGCCCAGAATTCAAATTTGAGTTGTCACTGGCAAGTGTAGCGCGTTGAAGTCGAGAGAACACCTCAGCAAGAGAGGGAAGGGTGGGACTGCCCATAATCTGTGCACGAAAAGGCTCATATGTTGATAACAGACCAGTGAGAAAACGAACAACATTAAAGTCCTCACGTTGTTGTTGCATACCTCGAACATCAGCAGTAATGGGCTGATACATATTCAACTCCTCACAAACTCCCATAACAGTGGAATAATACGCCTCTATACTATGATTACCTTGTTCAAGATGGAAGTACTGCTTACAGAGCTCATAAACACGAGTAATATTACCTGTCCCAGAATACAATTGTTGCAATCTGTTCCATATCTCCTTGGCAGTATCCAAGTAAAGTAAAGTTGAACTGATTTGGGTTCAATACTGTTTAACAACAGAGAGATGATCTGAGCATCTTCCTTTTCCCATGCATCAAAAGAAGTATCAGTTTCCTTGGGTTTATCTTTAGTCAGATGATTGCCAAGACCTCTGCCTTGAGAAAAATTGCAACAGATTTAGCCCACAGTATGTAGTTCTTTCTATTGAGTTTAACTGAAGTCATGGGAGAATGAAGAATTAATGTGGGAGAAAGCAAATCTGAACTGGACACCATATTGAATCCAGGAAAACAGAGAAGGAGGGAAAAAAAAATTGCAGAAGTTGTATTCTGGCCGAACCTGGGAACGAGCCAGATCCGGGCAAACGGGTCGGGTCCGGTGGTAAAAGGATCGAATCCGGATAGGCGAGTCGGATATGGACAAACGGGCCGAATCCTGGTTAAACGGGTCGAATCTGGGCTATCCCTGGTTTAGTAAACCGGAATTGGAATAGCTATCCCAGGTTTAGTAAACCAGGGTTGGAATAGCATAACCGTGTAGCCAAACAAGGGTCTTCTTCTTCACACCTTCACAAACACCGGTGTACAACGCGGCGGAGGCGACTGCAACCCAATCACAAACAGTAACTACAACTTCCGGCCAAAAAACCAACCTCACATTTGCAAATCGAGACGGCAAATGTCGGCGAGCTCGCTGACAACCAAAGAGGAGCTGCCGGCGACAACGAAGAAAGCAGAGACGATGACGAACAAGCTTCAGATCTGATGACGACGAACGAGGCTGCAGATCCGACTACGGTGAACAAGGAATTGCCGACAACGACGAATGAGAAGCTGCCGGCAAAGACACCAAAACCACAATCGTGATTCCAATTGCTATTCAGACCTTATACAAGAACTCAGATCTTATACAAGAACAACCCACCTACTGACTCTCACACCCATGATCATTTTGCTCTGATACCATGTTCAAAATCGAGATAGAGAGAGCAAAACATATATACTGTATATTCAACACACTACCCTAATAAGCCTGTGTAGGCTTATATATAAAGGGTACAAGTCTTGCATAATAACACAAGGGTCCTATCAACTAAATGTAATTACATAATGACCCAACATATACATATATATAACTTCTAACAAAAATAAAATAAAATAAAATGAAATACTAACTGAAACGTAACCTCTATTACTGTATCGACATCTATAGAGGAAGAGAAGCCCTAGTTTAGATAGCAACAGTTGTTCCAGAATTTGATTCCAAAAAAAGCGGGAAATTAAAAAGAGTTACAGTGAAAAGCAAAGAATATCAATAATGATAACAACAGATATTATTACTATGTAAAAGAACCGCACCCAAGAAATGTAATTTTCCTAACCACGAGCAAGGAGTGTAATTTGCCCGGCTGATAACCAACAGTTTATGCGAAGTCAGGCAAAGGCAAAAGAACATATTTCTTTTTGTATAAAATCTAAGTGTGTGGATCACGACCAAATGTTTTATGTAAATAAAATTCAGTTTTTCCTTTCAAAAGAACCAATATTGTCTTCCACTATGTTTCGTTTATCGAACTTCCTTGCCTAGAAACACAAAGTACAGCTACATGTCAAAGCATTTGAAGTGCCTTCCATGCATCATCCTATTTGACAACCATGTTGGTCTACAAAATATTTATCAAAGAACACCAAAAAAGCAATTGTATAGCCAATATGTCTTTCAAGTAACAAAAACTTGATTTAAATTTCTCTTTCTAGATTGCGACCACCACTGGCTATCTTTTGTAACATAAAGAGATATGCAGCAGTCTCTGTACATATTCTGGTTAGCAGTGCACAGTAAGAAAACTAAATTAAAAGATACAGCCTAAAAACAATGATAACATTACGTGGACTACTAAATAACACAAGCATATGAAAACTCAGTGTCTGAAAGTAAAAGTTACCCATGATGCTGATAATAGTTCTTAAGAAATACTCTGCTGATCATCCTAAAGAAGCGCTTCATGAAGCCTCCCGGAATTTGATTGATTTATTTATTCCTTTTTTCACATGGCAAGGTTTCGTTTTGTAGCTTCCATTTTCAACAAAAGATCTTTAATATCTGCTTCCATCCTCCTCTTCATATTGAAGTATTCAAGATGAGCTCGTTCTAGAGCCTGCAGCTCTTCAAATTTTTGTTTGCGCATTTCTTCAGCCTCAGCCAATCGCAGTTTTCTGATCCGACTTGTATACTCTTCATCGATTTTTTCATTCTTGGCAATTGCAATGCGTTTCAGGCCTTCAGCTTCTCTTCTTGCATCATCAGCGCGTGTCTGGAACATTCTAGCCTCTGCATGTTTGATTTTCACAATGCTCTCTAATTCATCAAAAATGGGTTCCTTTTGGGTGCTCCTTTGCAAATCTGAGATCACAGTGCGTTTATCTTTCAGGCCATGATCAAAGCTGGTAAGTAAACCAGCATCTTTTTCCAACTGAGAAGCTTTTTCTGAATAAACAGATTTTAGCCATAAAGCTTCTTGGCTGGGCCCAGTAATCCCATTATTCCCTTCTCCGTGATTCTTGATGAATAGCTCCTTTCCAGACACAATGGGCGTGTTGCCAGACTTGAAGGAATCAGTTCCTGCAATCACACACAGAGATGCAAGTTGCAAACTTTCAGTTAGATTGTAGATTCAATAACGCTGAATATATAGCTGTTATTACAGTCCCACTGGGGCACTTCAAGAATCGTGGATGATACCCCAATAGTAACAAAGCATTTGCCATTTGCCATACTAACAAATAGTTAGAAATCAACAGATTATCAATTTTAAATGTTTCAACCCCTTGATGATTCACAAAAGAGCATAAAGAGAGAGTCCAAATTCATGAAGCAGCAAAATAAAATAGCTACAACTACAAGCCATCATACCGAACAGTCAACCAGTCTCAGTCACCAAAACACAAAGTCTATATGATCAGAACCATAATTATATTAAGCAACCAAATGTGTAGTAATAATAATCAAAACAACATATGCAAATACCATTTGAAAGAAATAGAAGATAGAAAACAATCATTTTAAAACCAGTGGCTATGCCGTGATAATCACTTAGAAAAAACAATAATAACCCTTTTTATGGATAAAAATAAGACTAGAAACAGGTATTCACGTCGGCAGATCTAAAATTGCAATGTCCGATGATACATTAAAGCCTCTAAATACATGTACACCCATTCCCAGTCAGTGTCCACAAAGATGTCGGGGTACTGACGACTGCCAAATTGAAATTACTTTTCCATGGAAAAGTATACAAAAGAAGTTTAAACAGAAAGAAATAATGAGTAATACAAGATGGTTGGAAAAGTATACAAAAGAAGTTTAAACAGAAAGAAATAATGTGCAATACAAGATGGTTGAGATGCATATACCTAATACATTTAATGGAAAGCAATAGCACAAAAAGGAGTGAAGTTTACAAAATTTAAATGCATGAGATTCCATCTTCCTAATATTTATTAAGTTTTTCCCAAAAACAGAACTAGTGAAAGAGTGTTTAGCTTCATGAATAACAGGGTTTAACAAACAAAGGAAAGTTCTTTGTTAAGTACAACACTTACCAGTAAGGAAACCCATGATGCGAAATCGAACCTCGTGAAGATCAGACTTATTTGTCAATCTTGACAACAATTGAACAGAAATGTCATGCAGTCGTTTCCCTCTCACATCCTCACTGGCACAGAAAATCCTTCTGACATATTCAAGTTCCTTGGAAAGAGTTTCAGCTGTCCAATCCTTTGCAAAATTTTGGAAAACTTCCTTCACAAAACCAAACATCTCAGAAGGATGATCACAGGCAACACAGTGGAACTGCATCTCTGTTGTTCCCTGAGCCCCAGTCGCACTACGACCATTTCTTACATAAGACTCGCGTAATGCACAATCCGCATGGCACCAATGAAGACATACATCACACCCAACCCAACTACATGTATTAGATGCCATGTCAAACTTGGAACATACGAGACACATACAAGCACTGCAGAAACCATTCTTCTGGACACAAATCTTGCAATCACATTCATCCACAGGCAAAAGATTCCGACAAGTGAGATTTCTGCATCTTAAGTTCAGATAGATCTCTGCCAAATCTGAAGATGGTATGTCATAATTTCTTTGAAAGAATTCTTGAAGACCGGTTTTCAGAACCACCAAGATTTCTAATTGAGCTCGATGGGACTTCTGTAGCATCTCCAAGGTAATGTCAGCTCTGTTTTGTAATGCTTTCTGTAATGCACATAGTTGCCACTGCTTTCCCGGACTCAGAATGATATCTCGGACAGCCTCCTTTAAACATGCTACAGATTCTCCTGTCATTTCGTTAAATCTCCTAGCCATTACATGTAGTGGTTCAGAAACAATCATGGTGATGTAACGGTCAACAAAATCAGCTCCACCCATCAAAAGTTGCCCTTTTCCGTTCTGGTTACTGCTCTTGTATAAACTACCACCATTTTTCTCTCTCATGACCCGCTTCTTGTCTTTGCTAAATTCTGATCCAGTTTCATGAGACCCAACACTCTGTGAAGGGGATCTAACGTCATTCTGGTGCCTCGACTGTGTTCCTGATAACTGTTTATGAATACTTAACTGCCGATCCAGTCCAACAGGTATTCTTGAACTTCCTTCTGCAACTCTAATATGCTGTCCATGCACAGCTTGACCATTTAAAATACCTTGTGATGCTTGAGATTGATGATATATGCCATTTCCGTTGGATGATATCCTTTGATACATTGGAGCTTCTTTGTTTTTATGTTCATTTGAAGACTGACCTTGCCAAGGGGACACTTGATCCCCTCCCTGAAATATAGGACGACTACCAACTGAATGTTCATAATTGTCGAATGAATTCTGTGTTAGGGAACAGCTTGGGTTGTGGGTAAAGGGTTGAGAACCTGAAAAAGACATTGAAGCAGCAAATCCATCAGAATTGGTACGAAATGTGCTGGGAAAGGACTGAACACTCCTCCCATGACTAGGGGAACCAGGAGCTTGCGCCATACAGTGGGAACCGATGGGCAACAAAACATTCGGTAAGCTAAGAGAAAGTTCAAGCGGTTCGAGTGCCAAGTTTTCATCTCTGGGCTTAGTAACACCAGATGAATCTGCTTTCTCCAGCTTTCTAACAGGGTCAGTGAAGAACAACTCAAAGCCCCTGGTACTGGGTCCTTCCATCTCACTATCCCTGTGCGTTAAAAGGCCTCCGGATTCTCTTTCATTCTTCACACCATCTTCTGCAGAATAAGTGACATTAGAAGGCAAAACAGCCACATTTTTTCCTTTGTCCTTGAAATTTTGGGTTATTTCCTCCGTTACAAGTGATAAAACAACTTCAGATGCTCGATTTTCCTCTGCGACTTTCTTACTTGGTTCAGCTAAATCCATATTCTCTGCCTTGACATCGAGATCTATATCCCTGTCTTCCTTGTGTTTCTCTTCCAAATGCGGCGACTTCTCGGCAAATCTATCATTGCTTTCTTCCTTCTCGGGATTGCTGTTTTCCCTGGCACTCTCTTCAACTTTACCACCTTCATCGTCAGCTGCAGTTCCAATTACATCTCCACAGCCGCTTGTCTCGTGGATTAAATTGCCCTGACAATCCGGTATACAGTTGACTTCCTTAACATCTTGAACAGGTTCCAAGGATCCATCTTTTGGTTTCTCCACAGAAACACTACTTTTATTTAGCTCTATATTTTCTTCAGATGATGATTTTGAACCATCCTCTAAACGTTTGTTCTCATCCAGATGCTCACTCTCAAGCTCCTTCTTATCGGAGTTGAAACCGACAGAAGCTTGATCTTCAGCTACAGGCTCAACTTCAAGAACAGGTTCAGGATCAGGTTCCAGCTCCCCTTCTTCCATTTCACTGGTATTGCCACTCTCTACCTGCAAATCTTCACTCTTCTTCACTTCAACACTCTTAGATTGCTCGCTTCCAGAGTCCTTCGACCAAGCAGGTGATTTTGCATCTCTGGACCAAGCAGGTGATATGGCATCTCTGGACCAAGCAGGTGATTTTGCATCTCTTAATCCTTGTGGAGATCTCACCTTCCCAATATCATCTGATGCCACTCTACTTCCTTTAACAAACTCGCCAACAGTCCTGGTACTTTCATCAACATCTTTTCCTCCTCCAAATCTCCGCCACGAAGAAACACTCCCCTCTCTCCGTGACCGGTCCCTCTCTGATCTAAACCCTTTCGGAAATTCCCTCCTTGGCCCAGAAAAGCTCTCTGTTCGATGAATCCGATCTCCACCATATCCACCACGTGGCGAAGAGCTCAGAATCCCTCGGTCACTGATGTCCCTGTACCGATCATAACTCTTTCTCCTATCATAGTTGTCGACATCATAATCCGGTCGCTTCCGAACTGGTCTAGAACTCTCACGATCATCTTCTAACCTATCATACCGAGACGATGAAGAGGACAAACCCTTTCTTCCATTTTCAGACTTGTAATAGCTTCGATAAGACAGAGACCTACTTAAACTCGAATCGTCATCCCTTCTTCCCCAATCTCTAGAAACACCCTTATCTCCAAATGAATCAAGATCATCACTTGACCTCAACCTCTTCATGCTTGATAAACAAAAACAGCCAAATAGGACCAAAAACAGAACATCAAAATAAAGTTACTAAACCTGAACTTGATATTGCAGTTCTAACCTCAATCTGCAAAAATACCCACATCTTAAACCATTAAAAAACCAGCATCACCTACTGATCTCATGGCTTTGATTTAATCGCATATAAAACAGCCATACATTACCAATAAGACACCCACCAAACACAGGCTAAACAACTTCAAACCCCAGATTCCCTACTCTCCAGCTGAAGCAAGAGAAAGTCCAATCACTGATCTCAATCCCCCCAAAAATAATTAACCAAAAACGGATCATCAATCAATGATTGAGCTCAAAACCCTAGATTCCAAATAAATCAAAATCATCACCGCCAACACCTACAGATCAGAATAGCTCCATATCCAGTTCACACAGCACAGCATAATCAATCTATATTTACAGCAACAGAAAAGGGACGAGCTTTGAAACCCTAACTTTACTTCAAGAATTAGGTACAAAAATTGAAACTGCTAAATGATAAAAAAAACTCTGATTTGAAAGATAAAAGAAGAGTTTACCAGAGGCAAAGGTAAGAGTAAGTGATTAACCGGAACTGTCGGAGAAGCTTGTCGGTATATAACCGGCGGATGTATTCCGGCGAGCGATGGTAGCAAATGCCGGGTTGTGGTTTTCCTATCTAGAGAGAGAAAAAATTAGAAGAGAGAGAGAGAGAGAAAGAGAGAGCGAGGTTTTGTATTTACTCGGAAAAAAGTTATTGTTTTTCTTGCAGTCAACGCAGTTTTAACTACTGATTGAGGATAGAGAAAGAGACTCGAATACGCAAGGTGCGTAGAGCGCATAGAAGTTGAAAAGATGAGACGGCGTGTGTATTGCGCTCCAGGCGCAGTTTAGCATAGCGGGGTCATCGTCAACTATGTTTCAACGTCCACGTCAGATTTGAAAAGGAGTCAAGGACTGAGGCCGACCTTTCGTCTCTTTTCTATCGAATAGAGTAAAAGGAAAAAGAAAAAGAACTTCCTCGTGATTAGAGGAGGGAAAAAAAAAAGTCTTACATGTATATTTTTAAAATAACAAAATAAAACAAAATATTAATCTCATAGAGTCATAGCCACCAAAACAAAAAAAAAAAAAAACTTTTTTTCTTAACCGGCATCTCAAAGATCGAGAGTTTAAATTCCCTTAAGACAAAATAATGTAGTTAAATTATTATTGGAAGTAAATTTTACAAAACAATAACATGAAATAAGAATATATATATATATATATATATATATATAATTTAAGGGAGAAAATTTTAAACTTTTCAACTTTAACTTTCTTTATTTGTCATTAGTAAATCTTTGACTTTTATAAACGATTTTTCTTCCTTTAATGTAACAATTATTTCGTCCGTTTTAATCTAAGTGAGTAATTTTTAAGGAGGCATACATGTCTAAAAATTACTAACTTATCCTTTTAAGTTTTGAATATTTAATTTTAAAATTTTAAAATTAAAAAATATATATAAAAATATATAAAATATATTATTTGAAAAAAGAAAGTGAACTAGCATTTAGACTGAGAAAAAAAGATAACATGATATTTATTTTGAAATTGAGAAAGTATCACGTAACTCTTTGATTTTAGAGAGGAATGGCATCAAGTTTTCCAATGTAATAAAAGTACATTTATTGATACCATTTATTTAAAATATGAGAATAAAATTACAATTTTCATTAGCTTCATCCTGCAGTCATAGAGTAAATAAATGTTTGAGATCTTCTCCACCCAAAAATTCTTATTTCTTTTCTGGAATTTCAACACTTTAAGTCTCTAGGGAAAAAAAAAAATCAAGAGACTAACCAATTGGTCCAAGAATAATATTTATAATTTGCTAAAAAAAAAAAAAATTAACATAAAAAATAATTGTTATTGGAAGGCCGATCGGTCAAACAAGAATATTTATATATTTTCTAGACTAAAATTTTAACTTGAAAAAATCATCCAATAAACTATGACTACGTGTCAAATGATGATTGGCGGACGAGTCAAACGTAAAAAAGCGAGTGTGCAGTGCGCTACAGTCTGCAGAAACTTTCATTTTTAAGTTACTATAATACAACCTCAACCAATATTTTGGGTTAATAGTGGATGCTGAGACTGCACGGCATCAGAAAGAAAGAAGCAACCAACTACTCTCTCACAATTTTGAGACTAATAATTTAGAAATTAAGGTCACTTTTTTATTGAGTAAAACAAATAAAATAACACGTTATTAAGTTGGATGGCGTTACTGAAAGAGGAGGTACCTGAGATTATAGAACGTAAATGGAGTCTATGTAAATATTGACAAACCAGATTAATAGAATTTACCCAATCAAAAAATTATACAGAAAGTTATTTGATTAACAGTTTGTAACAGCTGTTTTCGAAAAAAATTAATTTTAAAAAAAAAAAAAAAACTACTTTCTTTTATAATTTTCTAAAATCAATTTTATGTTTTTTGAAACAGATGACTATTTTCAAAACCGAAATTTTATGTGATCAGTTTTTTATTATTATAATTTTTAAAAAAATAAAAACTATGGAGATTGGTTACCAAAACAGCTGCTTTGATTGTATATAGCATCCATCAATTATACTTAAACTTATGCAACTGGTACAAAATTAATAAGGGTAAATTGCAATAAACCCTCCTGAACTTTACTCTCTCTCCCTAAAAACCTTCCTCAACTATTTTTTTTACAATTAACCCCTTGAACTATCAAATTTTTTGCAAAATTTACCCACCGGTAGCCTTCCGGCCATTTCTTACCGTTAATTATGCCACTGTTGATCACGTGCCATTCCAAAAAAATTAAAATGACAAAGTTGCCCTTAAGACCATTATACTTTATTGCCAACAGTTTGACTCCACTACACCTACAACTCCGGCAACAACACCGGCGCAATCACCGACACTCCCATGGAAAAACCAAGTCTTCTGTTATGTGAAACCACTCCCAACGAAAAACCCATGTTTGTCGGAATCACACTCCAATTATATACACACATACATAATGTAAGGATGGGTTTGGGAGTTTGAATTTTTTAAAGATGTATATTCAATTTATATTCAATCATACCTAATTGAACCTACAATCGGAGAGATTGATTTTTTGGATGTCATCAATTGACCACAAAGATACATAAAGAAGAAAATCCTAAAAAGGAACCCTATATCAACAACACAACCCGCATATCCTTCACAAATTCTCACCACAAACCACACCTCGGACACCACGTTCGTTGTGGGTACGAACGCGCCTATCAAGGACGGCGATGAATCAAAGGGCGTTGGGACTCTCCAATGACCGAAACTCTTCCGGTGGGCTCTATTGCCACGAACAACGACGTAGATCTGGAGTGTCGGACAGAGGAGTTGATAGAGCGTCGGACAGAGGGTTTGATTATTGGTGTCGATGCAGGGGCGGAGAAATCGACGTGAAGTTCATGGCGGCAAGGTTCACTGCAACGACCCAGCTCCTCATGGATCCGGATCATTAAACGAGTCCTAACCCGGCCTAAAAACATCAAAGGGTAAAATGGTAATTTCACCTTAAATTAAAATGTTGAGTTCCAAAAAGGGCAAGATGGTAATTTGTCATATTTCAATAAATTAAGACCCAAAGGACAACATAGTCATTTACGTGCATCACACAATAATTAAAATGAGATCCGGGGTAAAATAGTCCTTTTGGGGTAAAAATATAATTATGGCATTTAATTGGGTCATAAAAATAATTAATTTCAACTTCAAATGATGCCAAAGTGTAATTTTAAGAACTTAAATTGGTAATTACATGAAAAGGCAGAACCGGTCGACGTATACTCCTTATACGTCGACTGGTTTGGGATATGAACAGTGACCCACTGCCATGATACCAGTCGACTGATTTGGGATACCAGTCGACTGGTTCTGAACATAAGTTACAATGGATACCGGTCGACTGGTTTGGGATGTGAATTGCTCAAACATACTGTGAAGATACCGGTCGATCGGTTTGGGTTATACGTGGACCGGTTCTAGAAAATCTTCACTCCCATTTTCCACTGTCCTGTGTGACCTGTACTCCAACTTTTGGTCGTTCAACCACCCACGTCACTACACTTACTTGCAAAATTAATACATTTCAACAATAAATTCGAGTACAACAACCAAGTTATTAACATAATTTACCACATGTCACTAAAATACACTAGGATTTAGTGTACAAAAATAATAATTATATTTTAACATCAAATAAAAATACAATAACCATCAACAACATGAACTACCACACTTTACTTGAATACACAAAAGGCTTATGATTGGTTAAAACTTAATTACATTATCCAATGGCCATAATTGCAAACTTATTTACATTCTCCAAAAATTATGATTATACATGGAATGGCCGAATACAAAATAGCAAAAATCATCTTCTAACAACTTTCAACTTTGAGGTGGATTGGCATCCGCCGGTTCTTTTCCAAGACCTGAAAAAAATAATATATAGTAGGGTGAGCTATATGCTCAGTAGGTGACACTTAAGACACACATCTTGTGTCCTTGTGAATCCAATCAAAGTATAGGCCAATGGGAAATTGGGATCATGCAATGTAGGGTTAAAACAACTTCAATGTCAATTCCAAGTGTAAACAATGCAATGCAATGAAATGCAATGCATGATATGTCACTCCCCATTTTTCATTTCTCAAAACCATACTTTCTAACTGTTAATACAGTCCGCCCTTTGGTAACCCCGCCGTGACAAAAGAGGAGGATTGGCTAGTGTCCTTTACCCTTGGTAACCCCGCGGCGTCATTATGAGGCCCAACTAGCTCAACCACGCTAGGGCGACTCCCTAGTCCCCTCTAGGCTATATTAACCTCCGGCCCGTTGGTAACCCCGCAGCGACCGGGTTTATCAAAACCATTTCACAAAAACTCTTCTCCCAAAATTTTCGTTTTCATTTCAAAAACTGATTTCTCCCATTTCATGCAACCCAATGGCATGTACATGTATATGTGTCTCAAGCTTACAATATTATGGCATGTAGAAGTTTTACATTTTATAATTACTTCACAACTAAGCATATATCATATTCAACATCATCAATTGAGTCATCAACACATTAAACACAACAAAACTATCACCATAACATGCTTTTCACATAGAACAAATCATAATCAAAATCATGAATTTCTCTAGACATCAATTACACAACATTGAAACAATTAACTCTCAAATTAAGCATGTTTATCACACAAAGGAGATATGACTCACAATGGAACAAGAAGGAAGTGGATTAAGGGCCCCTACCTCAAAAATGGACAAAACCCTTGAAATGGGTCCTCAAATTCGAACTCCAAGGAGGGCACTAAATCTGGAATTTCAGGTATGGATGTGTAGAGCTCGATGTGCTCGACGTTTTGCCTCAAACGGCTCTCAATTTCACTAAGAAGTGAAGAAGTTATGAAGATTCAAAGATTTGAAGCGAAAAATGAGAAGAAAAGCTAGGAGCAAGAGGGAGGGAGAGAACTTACGCGAGAAAGAAAAATGAGAGAGCTAAAATATGGTCTCAAGACCACATTTGAGATAGTGGTGGGTCCCGCTTAAATTTTCTTTTCTTTTCTTTTCTACTTTTACTTCAATTCATACACCACACACACAAGTGCACCACATGCAAATACTACTTAAATCATATAAAATTAAATGCACAAAAATGCAACTAGACCCAACCACAATCCCGTACGCAACATGTGAAAAGACAGAAATACCCCTGCGACAACAAGATTTCCAGAAAACGGAAAATGCCGAAAATCGGAAACGTCACATTCACCGCCGCTGCTCTACCCTCTGCTTCATCGATCTCATCTGCTCTACCCATGACATCATGAATCATTTGGCGATCGCTTCTCAGCTCGCTTCTGGCGCAGCAATGGACGACGGCGTGACTAGTGCAGTGAAGAGCTCGGCTCGGCGGTGGAGTAGCGGTAGTGGTGAGCTTGGAGATGGAGAACGAAGAAAGCTATGAGAATGTTGATGGTGCCGGCGAGATAGATCCAGCGGCAGCAGATCCAGCGGAGACGACTGGTTTGGCTGTGGCTGTGATGAGCTCTGCAAAGAGGGAAATGACTAGGTCTTGCAGATCCGGCGAGACAGATCCGGGTCTTGGATTTACAGATCGGACCAGTCTTTTAGTCCTTGCTTCCTCATCCTTATCAAAGGAAGGGTAAGCTCCTTTTGATTTTCTCTTCGATCGGTTCAAGAGAGAAATACGACTCTACCGAACTACCATATGGAGCAGGAGAGAGAAATACAGTGACGATGGTTAGGCAAAGAGAAGTTTGGGTTCCAACAGCCTAATCACATAATTAGTTTTTGTAACTCGTGGCTCTCTGTGTACCATTTGATTTTGTGATTGGTTTGCTAACGGATTTTTGGTGATAGGATTCGGGTTCATGTGTCTTGGGTTGCAGAGAATAAGACCAGAGATTCGATTTGGTAGGGATAATAGAAGTGTTATCAGATTCTTATTTGTCTTCAGATTTTTGTTACACATCTGCGTTGAATACCACCACATACGAACAAGATGACGTCATAAGAATGATGGGTAATTTGGTAATCTCATTTTTCCGGTACCTGAGAGTTTACCTTTGTCCTTATCTGCAACTTTTAAATAGTTCAGGGGTACATTTGTTAATTCATGGTGGTTTTTTGCAATTGACTCATAGTTTGGGGGGGTTTATTGCACTTTACCCAATTAATAATTATATTTATGTTGCATTTAAAAATACAGAATTGATAATTTTTAACTGAAACTCAAAGAAATTTAGTTAGAGTTCGAACTTTTTTTTCTCTGTTAATTCCAATTATAAAGTACGCAATTATATGCTTATAATTGCATTCCTAAGCCAAGATTAGATCACCCTTCTAACTTCAACAATTATTATATTACTAGTCAGAAAATATAAAATGAAACGATAAAGGCCTGAAACTTTTTACTAATCTAATTTTACTAAAGTAAACAAATTATTTCGTTTGACTCGTGATGACCATTATTTAACTTCAAACTATGTCAGAATAATTTTTTAACCAACAACAAATAAAAGTGCATTCACGTGAGAGTATTTTCCATCACGTGATGACACTGTCAAAATTGTTTTTGAAACCTAAGTTACAGTTAGTCACAATCAAAAGTTATTCAAAAACTATTACTACTACATATTGCTTGATTTTAGTGCAGTATATATAGTTTTAAAAGTAACATATATTATTATAAAAATAAACATATTAGCACAGCAGTCAAACTAGAGGTCACAGTTTTTGGTGTATTTTCAAGCTGTAGTTTAAACTGTCATATCTTTTGTAAGGGTTTTAAGTTTCAAAAGAGAATAAATCACATCTTTCCTAATCATCCTAAACAAAGGAGCCATATAAATTCTATACGAAAGATAGGGGTGAATCAGGATCCTCTCCGGTGTAACCAAATAGAATCAAGATCCTCTCCGGTGTACATTTGGGCAAGTGCCCTCTAATACATTTAAATCGACAATGCAACATTAATCGATAATGCAACAAAAATGCAATATCAATTTGTTGGGAATCCCCTCCGGTGTACATTTGGGCAAGTGCCCTCCAATACATTTAAATCGATAATGCAACAACAATGCAATATCAATTTACCGGATCCCCAACGTAAATATTTTAAGTGTGCATTGTCAATGTAGTGTGCTACATTACTGATTTAAGTCAATTGGATGGTGCTAAACCCAAAGTGTACAGTTTCTCAGCCATATGAAAGACATGAATTGTTATGACTGGCTCCCTATTCACCAAACACAGGTCTAGAGCAGTCACAAAAAAACTGGGGTGACAAAAATACTATATTATAAAGAGTAAATGAATTAATAATGCCGATCAGCAAACTGGGAAATGAATCGAGCAAATGAAATACGATGAATTCCTTTTTGAAGTTGTATCGAAAACTAGCAGTTCAAAAAGGAAAATGGAAGGGAGAGGAATAAGCAAAAAGATCCCCTAGCAAGATCTAGGTATGGCGGCAACAAACCTAAAGGTTTTTGTAATTTTGTCTAATAGTGGTGACTAGAGGACACCTCTGATCATCATCACCCTCGTTGTCTTTATCCCAAACGAATGGGATAAAGGCTAGGACGCCTCTGACCATTCACCTCTATTGTGACATGCTCTTTCAGAGTCATATGTAACAATGGGATCAATCAGCTAAACTAATTTTTTCAAATTTTGCCTCGTCGTGGTGATTAGACAACACCTCTGATCATTGACCTCTATTGTGTTACGTGCTCCTTCGGAGTCATGTGAATAATGGGATCAGTCGGCTAGACTAGGGCATTAAGATTCTCTTCATAGACATACCACCTAAAGCACAATTTAGGATAAAGTTAAGAAATTAACAAGTACTACATATATTTTTGACAAACATGGTTTACATTCATGACAAGCAATCAAGAGTTATGCTTAGCTAAAATCTCAAATTATTGGCTAATAAATAAAATTTACTGAACATGCCTGTTTACTTCATAGCTTACTTTAATCAGCCTTTTGCCTTTCACGCTTGAGAAGTCTATAAAATAGTGACAGCAGCCATTGCCAAATCAGGATCAGCCAATTAGTTCGCTTCGGTTTCGGCTCTGGTCTTGATCCAAACAATCCTTTGTAGAGCTCCTTTTGCTTCTGATAAATGGCCTTGTCGTGTTCAGCAAGTAAACGTAATTCCCTCGCAATAGCTTTGTCCTCAGGAGCATATTTGCGTGCCTTGAGAAAGTCCTCTCGTGCTGCATCTGTCTGCCCAAGTTCTGCTCTAGCCTTTCCCCGTCTGAACAGTGCTTTCACATTGTTTTGATCCTCAGACAATACCTAAAGAAAGTTTAACCATTCTTTGATTAGATGTTAGGGGGAGTTGTCTGCTACTCTCTTCAAATATAACATTTATTGGATCTCTAAAAGCAGGCTAACTTCAATTCAGTTGTCAAATAAACACAAAGATCAAACCATGTGGAGAAGATAATGGACCAGTCGCTCCTAAATATTAGCAAAAATCTCAAATTCGTGTAACAACTGTCTGGGTTTTTTGCTTATGGCATCTCTACATTACAGTTTAAATGCATACGCACGGTACTAGAAGATAAGATGCTGCATACTAACAACAAAATAGAACTCTAGTTTGGGTAGAGAACAAACCACTGTTATGTTATTGTATATGCGTAGTAGGAACAAAAAGGAGGGGAGGGGAACTGAAAAAAGTGAATGAAAAAAACAGGAAAAAGCTTCAACAAATTATAAAAAATGAAAAGAAAAGAAAAGAAGCAATCTCCATTCAGGCCTCAGCATCATCAATACAGATAAATGTGCAAATGACTCATTAGCAATAAAAATGAAAATAGAAAAAACACATAAATCGAGGAGATTGGCTGATTTGGATATGGGGGTTGTTTTCAATGCTATTATGAGAATAATCAGAAAATTTTGGAGGGATAGCATGACAAATAAAGACCGCATTAACCTGATGAATCTTTTAAGGTTGAAACTCAGAATAATAGAGGAGCTCTAATGGAACTTCTGAAGTTTCCAAGGTCGTTGTTTATACTCACCTTTGGCTTTTGTCTCGGCAGGTGTATTATTCTACATTTTACCCCTTGCTATAGTTCAATATCCCACCCATTCCTTTAGAGTTACAGGGAAAAGGCTACAAGGAGGCGCTACTATCACAGCTTTGACTTTTAGGTTACGTCACGGACCTCCCACCAAATCTGTGTGTTTTTCATGCATTCTGTGCTATTTTGCTCCTCCCTTCCAATATAAAAATATATAAATGGAAAAAAAAAAATCTATTTGAATTTACTATAAAAACTGCTGTTTAGATAGGCCTATATAAATTGGATTACCAAGGGCCCACTTTTCTTTGACAATTAGCATGTGGGATAAGATAATCATAAAACAGATCCAGAAAAATGAAAAGAAAAATACAACATTTCTATGAAATTTACATACAATTGTGCACTGCCCAATGGCTTCTTCATAGCGTTCAAGTTTTATCAGACATGCTGCCATGTTGAGGTGGCAGGGATTCTTTACTGCCAAAGCCATCTCCTGGTACTTACCAAACAACTGGAACATGAAGTCATCCCCCATATATGCTATGGCCTAATGCTCACAAAAACCACTACAATATGTAAAGAAAAGGGGAAGAAAAATTATACAAACAAAATGCCAATAATGAATGATAGAACAGGAATACTCAAGACATAAGTTCGTAACCATTTCATACTGTTGCATGGCCTCCTCCAGTTTTTCCTCCTTGAATAAAGCATTTCCATCCATCTTTCTTCTATCTGCTGCTCCAATCCTCTCCTCCACTGTCATGTCACCACGAGCTTTACCCTGTAATACATATTACTCAAATATTTGCGTTATCAGTGCCCTAATGAGGTCCAACTCAAAAATAAAATAAAAATATATATATAAAGCTTTTAGGGTTGAATTAATATATTCATCTAAAATTTATTTGTGAATAACTTACTTCCTTGGTTTCATCAAAACCAATAAGCTCAACCTCATATAGAATATCTGCCATGGGTGGAACATTTGGGAAAGAGAAGTTTCCTTCTTTCCCATACCCTAATTCCCAACCCACATGTAGCAATGCACGTTCACCAGATTTCATGCTGGACACACCAATGCCCAGTCCCGTCATTTCTTTCTTCTCTGTTGCAAAAAAAAGCAATGGACATTCATGTTATGCCTAACAAAAATTTAATTTGAAGAAATGTGCGGCTATCATCAAATAACACAATCCAAACAAATATAAACAAATCAAATCACTTCCAGAAATATTAATAGAACATAAACCAATCACAAAATAATCAATTTTTTGCATTGCCGCTTTATGAATATATAGTAGACAGTTACAGACAAATTACTAGGAGGTACCCAAAATCAGGTTACCCAAGTATCATGTGACGATTTATAAAAACAAAATTTCTAAATAACAGAAACAACTTACTGGTGAAAACTAAACAACAATCAAGAAGATACCTTTTCCCAACACCAACTCGAATGGTCTTTGTTCCTGCCACGTGTCTTCAAATTTGTGCTGGGTGCTTTCTGTCCAAGCCCTATAGTGCACTATTACAGCAAACAGGGTTACTCTAATGTTCAGAACACACAATTAGATTAGCATTTCTTCATAAAACTCCCACAGGATGAATAACCATAATTTCACATCAAGTATCAGAACTTATTTTGCTGAAGAGTCTAAAACACTAGGTAGTGTCATACCAAAACAGACTATTAAAAAATTGAAGCTGACAAATCACAACTAAATTATGTGGTATCAGAATGTAGTTGCTCTATTCTTTTACTTTATTAAAAATAATGATCGATATGATAATTATAATCTCATATAAGCAAATTCAACAAATTTCTAACATGCACAACTTATGGAAGGAAAACCAAGCAAACTATCCCACGTCCATCTAATATATTAACAATGTAAATTACAAGATTACACAAACTCATACATGAAAGTGCCTGGCTGCCTGCTAGCAAGTATCAATATAATCATCATAGTAACCCAAACCACAGAATTTGTGCATTACATAATTTAGAATTAATGCCTGAATTTTACTATTTCCTGGGTTTTGCACACTCCGATTTGGCCTATGATGATAGAATATTATAAATATTCTGGGAACTGGGAAGTAGGAGTAGCACGAGAGATATCTATACAAATTGAAAATTCACACTTATGAATCAAGGATGAAAGCAGTCATTAAGATTCCTAGATGGTTGACCTAGTTTACTGCTTTCTCAACTATATTTTTCGGCCCTACAGTGCATTATCGCTTGTTGCAAAGTTACAGTAGTCACTGAAACATGTTATAAGTTTTTTTTTTTTTTTTTTTTGATAAGTCACTGAAACATGTTATAAGTACAGCAATGAGCATTGTTATTGACTTACAGAAGCATGTTGAATATTTGGATGGCTTCTGATCATGACCTTCTTTGATAATTTGCTTCGTCACTTTCTCGTGAAGAATTTCCACTTCAGAATCTACTTTGGGGGGCCCACTGCCATCTTGAGGAAGTTCTCCATGCACGAATGAAGCACTTTCAGCAATAATTTCATTGTCGCCATCTTGATCTGTCAAACGTTGAAGGTGTTATCAAATTCCACAATATTTCTTCATGAAACCAATATAAATATTAACATTCAAGTTACGCTGTCTAATTCAAACCATATTAAAAATTTGCCAGAATTTTTCTCTTTTCAACTTATTTTTCCTTCTGGGATTAACAGAAATCTCCCCAACCAACAAAATATCATTGAACTAGGCTGGATGCAATGACACCAAACATAGAAACAAAATTGACAACAAGTTTTTGGCAACCCAACATCATATCAGAAGATGATTAGTGGATTCTTCTGCTTTCCTACAAGTAGGACCCATTTAGAAGCATCTTACATCTGCTTCCCCTTTGCTATCAATTTTAAGATTGCCTCTAAAACTGCAGTCTACAAACAAAGAAAAACTCAACTCGGGAAGCTTTTTTACTTGCCAAACGCCTTTCCAAGGCAATCCGATTGTACATCCATTGTATAATGTTGGTTTTAGCTCATGGGTAAAACTAGAAGAAGAATCAGACTGAATAATTTTACATTTTTAGACATGCATATATTTTATCATTATTCCAGGAAAATATGAAGCATTTGGAATAATAGCTAACGTTGGATTAGCTGGGAATCACATTAGATAGCCAATTGTCTAAACCCATAATTGGTCTTTTATTAATTGATAATTAAAAGGTTGGCAAACCTATATAAAGAAATGCACGTACATGTGTGTATATATATATGGGACAAGTGCAGAAAACACCCCTAAAGTATACTCCGTGTATCACTTTTACCCCCTATTTGAAAAAGTGTGCAAAAAAACCCCTAATCTTTACACAGTGTGCAAAAATACCCCTCAATCATAAATCTGACATAAATTACTGCTTTAATACCCGTTTTGCCCTTTTACTCTTCCGAAAATGCCCAAGGGAGTATGTATGCTACTAATCTCATAATATAGGTGTGTTACGTGAACATTACCTTACATTTTTTTTTTTACTTTTTTCTCTCTATATATATATCTAAACTTTTTTTTTTTTTTAATTTTGAGAATTTGTAGAACAAGGATTTGAATTTTTTGACATTTGAGTTTACTTTTTTCTACTAAAAAAAAAAAAAATTCTTTATTTTTATTTTTTTTTCCATACCAACACTGTTAAACAAACAAACAAAAAAAAAAAAAAAAAAAAAATCTCAATATCAATGTGCACTGGTGTTTAGAGTTTGGAGCATATTTGTTTTCTTTAGTTTGCACTTCATATTCATTCTTTTATTTTGTATTTTTATCATCATTTTTCTTTTATACTTTTATTTTATCTTTACTTGTCCGTTGCCGGCGTTGTTCAATAGTGTCATTTTCGGTCATTTTACAAAATTTATTTTTATATATTTTATAAAATGGTTCAGTAGGATAATTTAGTCAACTTAGGGTTTAAATTTGTCAGAGAAACCTATGTGCACCAAATTGAAACTTCAGGAATGTTTTTTACATGTGAGGGCGTCCTCAAATAGTATCCTTTTCGGCCATTTTACAAAATTATTTATTTTTATATAAGGGTAATTTAATCAACTTAGGGTTTAAATTTGTCATGGGGACCTATTTGCACCAAATTGAAACTTTAGGGGTGTTATTGGCACATGAGGGTTGTGATATGCACTGTAAGCATATTTGGTGTTTTTTGCACTTGACTCATATATATATACACACACATATATATAAATACATGTGTTGCATCTCCCACCATCTCTTGCTTGTGGAGCATAATTTCATGTTGAATAAGAAAAATGCTTCAAAAATGTGAATTCAATCAGAATTTGTGGAAAACAGCATTAAAGGAGCTGATGAATCCACTCCTTTTTTATGTTCTGATTATAAACAAAATGGGTGGTCAATTTTGCACTCTAATTGACATATACGAAATATTGCAGAGAAAAAAATGATTGAATATATACTGTTTGTCTCACAATGCCATAATCTAATAAATTACCAGCTGATTGATTTTGCTTCTCCTGATTCGCCTCCATTTTTCAAATCAGTAACCAAACGATCCACCAAAATTTCTGCACAGAAACCTAAATCAAATATTTTTGAAAACAAATTAATCTCAAATAACAAACTAAAGTACACTTAAAACTGAGCTTCTCTCTTCCAAAAAAAAAAAAAAGTGAGCTTTTTTCCCCCAAAAAAAACTTAAAACAAAATTAAAAGATTTATAAAAATAAAAATAAATAAATTAACCAAAATCTCGACTGAGTTCATTTTTGTTAGATACCAAAAACAACACCAAGTACAAAATCAATGTTTTGGTACACAAAAAAATTGTATTGTTTTTTCTTTTCTGCATTAATTTCGCATCAACCTGACAAAGTTCGAAATTGAAAATGCAGCAAAATTGCTAAGAAAATAAAAATGGCAAATTTAAAGATCATTATACAGTTCTATACTTTTGTATAGAAAAAATGAGGATATTAAGTAAGAAATAAACAAAATTAGAGAGAAAACAAGTTAAGCTGTGGATAATGGGTGCTGAATTCACTTACTGGTGATTGAATCTTCGGCAATCGAATTCGAGAGCTTCTGTTTATTGAAAGGGAATACAAATTAGAGGTAAGATGTAAATGTTCGTGTTGCGATCAAAGAATATTCTAGAGAGAGAAACGCGTGGTATATAGATCGGTTAGGTAATAGATGACTGTGTAGCGGAGACCACGAGAAGACGACTATCGATTATCGACAAAATGCTCGAAGGCCTTCATACCATATTTATTCGACCCTAAACCAGTCGGGTCAATCAGCAAGCTTGTATTTAAATTCGACCCGAATCACGCTTAAACAATAATCGAACTTTCCCTTTAGTTTAACTTTCCAAGATAACGAGTTTTAGTATTTTTTTATTAGAGTGGCAGTGATTCCAAAATGGCTCATAAAAATGTGATGGTATATTTTTTATAAGTTCAATATAATAAGGTTAAATTGATGATGTTACAAAAACTAGTACTCTACTTTTAAAATAAGACATTCATTTTTGAACAACTAAAAATAAAAAGGTGGACATTTTTTTTAGAGGGGATGGGGGAGTATTTTTTTTCTTATTCCGTTTAATTTGAAATATATATATTATTTTTGTTTAAGTCAACCATATATTTCTTACCCGGATAAAAATTTACGGTATAATAACTTGTCCTCACTTGCTACTCTCTAAGTAGTGATAATTAGATATTACAAGTGGATTTTATCCCACATCAAATTTGAATGGGGTTGAAGTATGTATAAATGGGTGGATATGCAAGATTACTCAAGCTTTTGGATAAATGGGCAAGCGCTCATCCGTTACAGTTAGTAAATCAGATCCAATTCTTAATCTGGTGCCATGCCAAGCATCCACCCGTTACACTAGACCACTAGTTAAAGTAAAAAATTTGACCTAGTCATATTTGCTGCACATAAAAAGATTGAAGGATTTCATTTTCTTATATTTTACATAAATAACTAATTAGATACTCAGTGCATATTGTGCATTTATAGGTTTTTGTAGTATATAAAAGTGTCACTCCTAAATTTCCTCATCACATTTCCATTAATAATTATTTATTCCATCTTTTATCTTCAATTTTTTCGTTGACTTAAGAGTAAGAATAAAGTTATAGGTATGGTTTGAATGTGACTCTTTAATTGTTGTTAAGGTTGTTTCTGAAGTTGATCACGGGCAAGTTGAAATTCAAGCAATATCCTATGATATTAAAGTGGCGTTTCGAAGCTTCTCCTCATCCTGTCTTAGCCATGTCCATAGGCATGGTAGCCTGTTGTCACGCCCTGAATCCCACGACTCAGGTCGCGAAGAAATAAAAGAAAGACAAAACAAAGTAGCCGGTATATCATCTCTGCAAAATCCTCCATCATTTTCCATTCCCGGATGGCAATGCTAGCCAAGTTTCCATGTGACTTCCTACTCAAGGCATCTGCTACAACGTTAGCCTTTCATAGGTGATACTGCAAATCAAAATTATAGTCCTCCATATACTCCACCCATCGTCGTTGCCTCATGTTCAAGTCTTTTTGTGATAAAAGATACTTGAGACTTTTATGGTCGGAGAAAACCTCAAACTTCTCCCCGTACAAATAATGTCTACATCCCTTCAATGCAAAAATCACTGTCGTCAACTCCAAATCATGAATCGGATAGTTCTACTTGTGAGTCTTCAATTGTCTAGACCTATAAGCAATCACCCGTTTCGTCTGCATCAAGACGCAACCCAAATTATCCCGTGAAGCGTCACAATAAATCACATAACCCAAACCATGTTCAGGAATCACCAAAACTGGAGCTGTAGTTAATCTGGTCTTTAACTCCCGAAAGGCTAGCTCACAAACCTCATTCCATACAAACTTGATTCCCTTGCGGGTAAGTCGAGTCATAGGTGCCGCTAAACGAGAGAAATCCTGGACGAATCTCCGATAATAGCCGGCTAGGCCAAGGAAACTCCGAATCTCAAATAGACTCTTCGGACGCTCCCAATCCATCATTGCTTTAATATTAGAAGGATCAACTGAAATTCCTTATCCCGAGACAACGTGTCTAAGGAACTTCACTTCCGGTAGCCAAAACTCGCACTTCTCGTACTTAGCATACAACCGGTTATCCCTAAGGGTCTGCAACACTGTTCTCAAGTGAGACTCATGTTTTTCCTCCGAAAATGGGTATACAAGTATGTCGTTAACAAATACCACCACAAACTCACCAAGATAGGCACCAAACACCCGGTTCATCAAGTCCATAAAAGCTGCTGGAGTATTAATCAAATCAAGTGGCATCACAAGGAACTCGTAATGGTCATACTGTGTGCGAAAAGCGGTCTTAGGGATATCCTCATCCCTGACTCTCAACTGATAGTAGCCCGACCTCAAGTCTATCTTCGAAAAACACTTAACTCCCTTCAATTGGTCAAACAAGTCATCTATCATAGGCAAAGGATACTTGTTCTTGATCAAAGCATGGTTCAACTTGCGATAATCGATGCGAAGTCTCAAAGACCCATCATTCTTCTTCGCAAAAAGAACTGGTGTTTCCTACGGTGAAGCACTAGGGCAAATGAAGCCCTTTGCTTTCAAATCATCAAACTGGTTTTTCAACTCATTCAACTCTGCCGGTGCTATGCGATACGGCGTCATAGAGATGGGTGCAGTACCGGGTATGACGTAAATGGCGAACACAACATCCCGTATAGGAGGCAACTTTGTTAACTCATCCGAAAAGAAATCAACGAACTCACCAACCACCGCTGGAAAACTATCACCCAGACTCCATTCTTCCTCAGCTAAAAGGCTGGCCAAGTAGAACCTATAACGACCCCAATCACCAATACCATAAACGGTCAAAGTGTGTGAATCGATCCGATCTCCCACAAAACAAAAACAATCTCTATTGGGAGTACATATGGTCACCCTCCCTCGGAAGCAATCAATGGTGGCTCGGAAAATGGGCAAATAATTCATCACAAGAATGACGTAAAAACTCGTCATCTCAAGAGGGATGAAGTCGAACCACAATGTTCGCCCCGCTATCTCAACAGCACAACCACGACAAATCCTATCCAACGTAACTGGTCCCCCAACCAGTGTGTTAACACAAATAACCCCATCCAAGGATGTGATCTCCAACCCGAATGAATGTGCAAATAATGATGAAATGAATGAATATGATGCACCTGAGTCAATCAAAACTCTAGCCCAAGAACTGAACATAAAAAAGATACCTCGAACAGTTGAAGGTCCCATTGAAGTACCCGCCCGAGGAAGAGCAAAAACTCTGCCCTGCACTCCTGAACCCTGCTGTCCACCACCCTGATACCCTATGTCACGCCCCAAGACCGTAGTCCGGATTGTGAATACAACACACAAACAATCACAGTCTCAAAATTAATAAATATCCCTGTAACCTGTCTCAACCACACATCCACCTATCTATTTCCCTTTACAAAACAAAACAAGACTGAAAATACATAATTATAATGCAAATATTACAACTTTAAGTTTGAAGTCTGAAATAACATTTATTACATGCTTGGGATATTCTAAAAAATATAATACAAAACATAGTTTATTATGCGGAATGAAAACATGACAACACTAGCCCCGACTCTGTCTACAGCTGAGGAGGGACACCCTCCATACCATCTATGCCATGACCTGAAAAGATGTGAAATAATATAGGAATGAGCAACCACAGCTCAGCAGGAATTGCCTAAAGCACACTCCTTAATACCTCCGTAAATCCAAACAAAGAATAGATAAAGGATAATGGGATCATATAACCTCGAGAAAGAAATAATGTCAGGTATGATAATAAAATGAAGTGCCGTGAAATGCGGATGCTTATGCTAATGCCACTGACACTTCTCACTTCCTAAAATCTCATTTTCATCACAAAAAGTTAATGTAATCCGGCCAGGGCTGCTCCCTGTACCACGAGAATAGAATTGATTATTGTAATACCCCGATAATTTTAAAAGTTTTATTAATTAAGATTAATTATTTTATTTTATTTTTTCAATGATTTATTTTATTTTATTGAGTGCTAGATTAATTATCTTATTTTAATTAAGTTATATTTCGTGATTATGTATGATGATTGATTGTTTGTGTGGTTGATTATTGATTGAATTATTGGTATGTTGATTTTATTGGTATTATATGACTTAGTTGTAAATTCTTGTTTGTTTATGTGCTTCATGTAATTAGTTATTTTAATTTCTGTATTTAATTAATTATCTTATTTATTTAAATTAATTGGATTGGGCTTAAGGAAAGTTGGACCAAAAGATGTGGTCTTGGGCTTGTATGAAACCTTATTAGGTTAATTAATGAAGGTCCGTGGTTATTTAATTATTTAAATGATCACTTTTGTATCAATTTTATATATATATATATATATATATATATATAATTATATATAAATATAATTAATTAATAATTGTTATGGAAAGATATATATATAGATATATATTTATTGATATTTATAAGTATATATGATTTAATTAACTAATGAGTTAATTATGGAAGGAATATATATTTATATATATATATATGTTTATAGATATAAATTATTTAAAGATTATTATTTTAATTCATAATACTAGTTGGAATAGGATTTGGAATTTAAGGTGTATAAAAATACACATAAGGCTTTAGGGTTAAAGGTTTTACACGTTAGAAAAATAAAACAGACAGAGAGAGAGGAAGAAGAAGGGCTGACAAGGAAGAGGTCGGATCTGAAAAGGAGGACGTCGGAATTGGAAGAGATAATTAAAGCTTAAAGCGTCGGTTTCGTTTCGAAACCTTCAGGCGAGTTTTCTCTATTTTTCCTCTTAGAACCTATAAGGATTTCATCTTAAGTATTAAGGCTCTAATTAAATTATTAATTTGGATTAATTAAAATCATCAAGTTAATTTATTTTATTAAATTGTGTTTAGATATGATTATTTAAAAGTATGAATTATTATATATTTTTAATTTTGAATTATTGAATTTTATTTGTATATGTAGATGTTGGATATATATATTAAAATCAATGTATAGGTGGAACTGTGACCTAAGGGAATTAATTTTGGTTTTTATATTTTCTGGAATTTTTCTGTACTTTTCAGAATATTTTTAGAATTTGTTTTGTAATTTTTTTTATATTCTGGAATTTATTTTAGAATTATTTTTATTCAATTTTAAATTAATTCTATGCACTCGGTGTGAATC